AAGTATCATATTAGAGATATGGTCTTTAAAAGAAAGTTCACTCTAATATGAGTTACTGAAAATGAAGTGAAACCTCCGTTCCAGTTGACTTTAATCTTCAGTGGGAATGTTCACTTTACAGAACATTAATATCGTGATCTTCAGTGTTGATGTCTGTTTATATTCTCAAAAACCATTTCACTTTCGAAGAAGGTGCTCGCAATGGTAGGTTTTACTGTTTAGGCATTTAAAGTTATTTGATTTTTTTTTTTTTGACAGTACAGCAAACTGTCTCTAAAGAAACTATTTGTGTTTTTTGACAATTCTGGTCTTCTGTGGAGGCGGTTATGTCTGTGGAGGCATCTTAGAAAGTCGATATACATTACTGGTGTTTGCTTATGCTCTTAGAAATATTGATCACTTTCAAACTGGTTATCTGTGGAGGTGGTCACTAAGAGAGAATGTACTACGCTTTATTTCGAAATTTTAATCTGGCAGCTCCGTTGTTTCCCTGTCCGAATAGTTTACAATTCAGTTAGCAATTATTGTCGCTAGAATGAGTATTTTTAAGCCAAATTCAAGATACTCTCCCTCTGTGCGCAGTACGACTTGAGTGAAAGCATTTTACCTTGCTGAAATTAATATCACGAATAACACATGCATTTGTTTAATAATCTTCTCAAATAATATTTTTCCCCAACTAAGGGAATTATTCTTTTCCCTCAGAAATGAAAACATTTCAATTTTATTTATCTTTTAGTATCCCAAAAGCATTTGTTTTGTGGTATTGCGATTATCACCCCCAACCTCCAAAGCTATCCCCTATTCATCTGTGGAGATGGTCTTCCTAGAGAGGTGATGTTAAGTATCGATGTTTATTTATGTTGTCAGAAATAATGATCACTTTCAAAGATGGTTCTCTTCTTAAGGTGTACAGCTCGAGAGGTTTCGCTGAATATGAAGGCTCATAATTGTCCAAAGTCATAATAGACGAACAGATAGACGAAATGAAGTATGTGTTTGCCATATTTACATTTAATAGTCTAATAATCCCAAATAATAATGTTGTTAAGACACAATAACACGCCGAATAAATACTAATTCAGAAGTCAAAACAACAAAAAATCAGCGTTATATTTACCAAAATATAACGCTGGTAAATATAACGCTGATTTTTGTTGTTTGACTTCTGAATTAATAATGTTGTTATCGATCAGTAATAATGTCGAAACTCTAGAGCTTCCTTCTTGTATTTTCCGTTGAACAAAATAAAAAAATTAAAGCAAAATAAATACTACACCTATCTGAACCTTCTTGTAGTATTGTGAAATTTCGGGTAGTACTAGCTCCGAATGCTGTATCTTTTAGAAACGACAAATTTTTCATCTTCGCTTCCTTTCAGTAGGTGCTGACACTAAAGGTGGAGTACCCAGGAGGTGCAAAAGGACATGTGCACCCCCTCCAAGTTTACTCTTCTCATTTCTCCTCATGCTTAATTTTTTTTGCATCATATGCGTCTTGGACAATATTTATATATAAAAGAGGGGTGCATCCCTAAAGAATATGTTCCGTTCCCCTTCCCAAACAGGCTCCTGTGAAAGAAATGCAGGAGGCATTATTTCTTTCCAGATAATGATATGTAAGCGCCTAAAGCAGGTCTTCTGAAAGTGCCCATCTAAGCATATCATCTCTTTATGGAGTTGAATGGTGCTCGAGCAGTAGTCTCGGCTCTCGGTAAATGAACAGTAGTCAGGAAATCCATGGCCTTTCGCTCAAGTTGTTATGTTTGTAATCTTATAGCTTTAAATGCGCTTGAATATTTTTTTTTTTTTTTAATTTTTCGATTCGACCATGAGTAAGAGTAAACAGCAGTCGCTTTTAAATTATGTTAACTCTGGTGAAAAATATTCCAAATGTCAATTTGAAGCAGGAAACTCTGCTTTAAATAACAATGAAGAAGTAGAAAATAGCCTATCTGAATCGGAAACAAGTAGAGATTAATAATTCACTATTCTTCAGAAACTACCTATGATATAAAAACGACATCGCAATTTGAAAAATATGACATATCAAATTACGTCAATTGTAAGTTAACTGACGAAGAAAAAACTGATTTCATTGGAAAATTTTGGTTGCTAATAGCTACATGTGGGTCTTCAAGCTCTTCATTTGGTAATGAGAAAGTGAATAGGAAATTTCAATGTAATTTGCTGTTAGAATAACCAGCATTTCTTAACTAAACCACATAGACCCGGAGTAGTTCTATTTATCTGTGATACAACTCTTTTCAACTGAAGCATCGTTAAAATACTGTTATAAGGTTCAGAGTTGGAAGAGTTAAAATGCAATGGGATTCTTCTCCGAGCTCAGCTTATCAGGACTTGTGTTCCTCTTGACTTGCCTTCGAAACATGAACTGTCCTGACTCGGAACAGTGAGCTTACTCAAGCTATGTTCAATAAATTGTGAAGTAGACAATACACACAGGAAGGGTATAAGAAACCCTTTATTTTTCTATCTTTACAGAGATTTCTGGAACTTCGGAATACAGAGACCAACCACTTGTGGTCTGAACGTAAGAATATAAAACTACTAACTAAAACTCTAACTAAAACTAACTTTGAATGAGTATACAAGTGCCTAGCAATAAGATTGGCCGTTATTTAACAAAGTCCGTGTGTAGTACGGAGAGCTGCTAAAACTACGATACGTTTGAATTATCAAGAGGACTAAACCTCTGGCCTTGAAGGCAACAATCAACCGAGTGAAAGCTCGTAAAACGACAATGGCAAGCGGCCTGCTTCCAATAACTCCTTCCTCTATCTTGCTTGGCAAAAAGCCACAACTTAAGTACTTGGCGTTAGCAAGACAAATTTACATAAATAAGTTAAAGCTTTTAATTCTGGCCGGAAGTAGAAAATAAGAAGTGATAGTAAAGATTTAAAATAAAATAAACGTTAGTAAAACTTAGGATCCTTACAAGCTTAGTAGAAAGAAATGTTGGGTGATGATTCCTACTTGAAGAAATGGCATAGCAGATGCTATCCCAGACACATATGTTATCCGTGTATCGCTCTGGCTCTTACTTCTTACTTTCCTTGCGTTTGCTTTGACTCATTTGAAGGCTATGAAGTTTGACAAAGAAGACATACGGAAAGTTCCCTAAGTTTTTTTCTGCTGTCTCAGAGCTTTCTGGCACTCACGGTTCTACCATGGGTTTGGATATTTTCGTAGTTTTGCTGATATCATAGGTATAGAGACTATTGCTGCCTGCATAATAGCATCAGTAGCTGATTTCACTGCTTCATCGGTAGGCACATCTGTGGAAAAATGGGAAGCTGATCGTTATTGTAAGGATCATTCCCTACACTGAGCAAACTAAAAAGAAATGATGAACAGATGGCAAGATCAACAGCATTAAAAGTTTTTGCAGGCTCGTGGAAATAGGTATTTGTCTATTATTGAGGAGACAAAGGCAGTAATCTTCGATCATTTGCTCTATCTGCCTGCCTCGAGAATTTGTATCCTTACTTCCACACAGCGGGCAATTGGCATTGAAGATTCCCATTACGATAAAGGTGTTCTGTTAAATAATCTAAATCTGGTTGATCGATGTGTTGGTTTGGAGGCAGGTAAAGAGAACAAATCGAAACCAAATTCCGTACATTAACTTTAATGGCTACAGCTTGGAAGCTCGTTCTTAACGAGATTGAGATCGAGGAATAGTCAAGTAAAGCTAGAACTCACACGCACAATCACCATCAGGATTTCCTTTACTCTTCAAACAGTATCTTCAAAGCTTAACCTGTTGCTCTGATTTCTACAACGTTTCCTGGACTGCCAAGCACACAAGACGATACACACAGATAATGTGTTTGATATCAAAGAGATTTTGGGGGAAAACACGACATTTTCATGATATGAGAGGGGCGATTAGGAGTGGTATTTGTTCTTTCTGTGATGCGTTTTTATTTTCTCTATTTACAAGTTATCTGAATCAACAGAATCAAAAATCATGTCATCAAATGAACTATTACTAGCACTTCTATGTATGTTAGTTTTTATTTTAGCGAGTTCATTTTTTTTTTTTATTACATCAGTTGATTTGTCATTTTTGGGCTTACTTCTAAACTTCTGGGATTTCGATGATGGTGTTTGTGTGTTAACTGATGTTTAGTTTCCAATAGATCGAGTTGATTTAACAGCACTTGCAAAAGATATGAATGCTCATGGTTGAGTGCCTTCAACTATCCTTCTGGCTTCTGCATAGGATACGTTTCTCGCAATTTTAATAGCCTGAACTTCCCTGTCTGACTTCCATTTGGGACATGAGCGTGAGAAGCTACGTTTTCAGCCTTACAATTTATGCACAGGGGAGCAGCGGTACAGGTTTTACTATCGTGGCCTACCATCGAACAACGTGCACACGTGAGTTTACCACGGCAGGAAATCTTAGAGCAGGGGTTCTCAACCGGTGGTACGTAAGAGAAAAATAGGGGGTACGCAAAGAAAAAGTAAATTAAGAAAAATCTCGTTAAGAAAAAGAAGAATTGATAGAAATTTCCTGTGATCAAACTCATACTGAAGATTTCAAAACCAATACACTTGTTAAATTTTGTCTGAACCGAAAAATAACTTTAAAGGCAACTTTAAAGGTGTGAACACAGATTTTCTTCCATGTTATATTTAAAAATTAAATGCAGAACAAAATTAAAAGTGGATCTTTATTTGCGGTTAAAACTAAGTGAAATAAGACCAAACACAAAGAAATTTGTCTCTCTTAAAGAGCCCAACTTTCCGCACTAAATTTTAGAATTAAGTATTATAACTTAAATTTTGATAATAAAAATGCTAACCCATTTTTAATCTAATATATTTTGTGTATGCATATTTAATATATAAATAGCCAATAGGTTGTGCAAATGGCAAAATATATTTACTTTTAATATTTCTATTGAGAAATTGAAAAATAATCATTGTAAAATGTAGCGGTGGTACTTAAGTTTTTCCGTTTTTATTTAGATGGTGCTCTCTTAGAGTGACCAAAAGCTGATACTGGAAACATCACATCGGCTACGGAATATATGGTCGTATGGGATAATTGAGGTACCCAGCCTTAACATTTTTAGGCAGATCAGGAGAGTTGAAGATCAGGGTTACATGTTTCGTGTTTATCAACTGACCTTCCTTACGCACCATGATCGGCCTGGCAGCACAGACATTTTCATCAGCTAGCTCTAAAACGAACTTTTCTTCGTAAACAAACAGAAGGTCGAACTCAGAAATTACGCCTCTACAAAAGTTTAGCATTTTTATGTGCATACACAGTTACATCAATTTGCCCGAGCTTGGTTAATCGATAGAGAGAAGCAGATTGGATGGCTGAAGTTGTATCGATAAACAAATCTCCAGAAAGACGAAGCTTTATATTTATTGGCTCGCTAATGAAAGAACGATTATATTTATTAATTACGAATGGTAATTAATACCTTTGACATTTCTTCAGAAGGGCTTGAGACTACAAGGAAATGTGGACATACGTTAGGTTTATTAGCACTTGCATCGGTACGCATCTTTTTTATAGTAAATTCTTCAGCATGTTCGGTATTTGTAATGATGTGATTAGATTCTTGGTTTTTAATCATACGAATATTTGGAGTCGCCATATTTGAAAGAAAAAAAGATTTGAGTCCGACCGCCCAACCCTCCACGGATCCCAAAAAGGGAGCCCAGATTCCTGTGTTCCTATAACAAACTGAAGCTCCATGGTCGGCTTTCCCGAAAGCAGGTACTCCCGAGACCTTATCCCCAAGCCGCCGACACTAAGGTCAGAAGAACAGCCGATTGACACCCGTGAGGACAACAAAGTGCAGTGTATTAGGGACAGTACCTTTTCCCTCAACTATCAGGACACTCCTTTCCAGTGACACGGATCTCTACACATGGCAAACACATGAGTAGTTTTCTCGCCACTTAAAGCTAGAAACAAGAGCTGTAGTAGCCTCTCATGACTAGCCTCAATCTCTAAAAGAGGAAAACCACAGTGAAGAGAAGTCGGAGACAGATGGTGTTAAGAGAAGGGGAAAAGAAGAAAATAACCTGATAATACATAAATAAAAATATATGTTGACTTGTGACCATTTTTTCGATCATTAAAAGATTTTTATCAATTTTCCAATGATGTTGAATTCCAGCGATTCTAGTAAGTAACTATTTTTGTTCTCATGGTATTTTTATTATTTTTCTTAAATGTTCTTTAGTTTTGTAACTTTTATAACTTACGATGTGATAAAAATTACATCAATGCTTGAACAGTTATAAATAGGAGAAATAAGGTTGATAGAGCGTATACTTTAGTTTTTTACCGTGTAATAATTATAAACTAAAGAAATTGCTTCTTTCATGGCAATAATTTCATGCACTCCCCCACACACAAAAAAAAAATTAATTTCTGAGTACGCCATTGGGCACTAATATCCTTGACCTAACTTTTTTATTAAAACGATAGCGCGAAAAGGATATTTAAATTTACAGTACGCGCCGTTTAATCAGAACACGATTGTCCACGGCTATTTTGATAACAGTAACGGAATAACATTAACTGATAAGAAGTTTCCTTGAAAATAACAGTTGAATTTAAGTAATTTAATAAAGAAGCGAAGAAGCAGTCTCAGTTTAGCTTAGGTCTTTACAGAGAATGTTTTCCCCCTCCTAAAGAAGAGAAATTCGCAGATTTTTTTTTTTTTTTTTTCTGCTAAAGTACTACTACCTGTGGCAGATCACTCTCAAGATCGATGAAATTATTCAATTCTACGCCAAACTACATCCCCCCTTTTTTTGCCTAATTTTAAATGGCTGCAGTCTGTTTTGCACCCTTACTTCTACATTTTTCTGTCACTTGGCAGTTAATTTTTATAATTTTTTTCTATTTTACTTGACTGCTCAGTTTAAAAACAAATTTATTCTATACTACTTTTATTTTACTAACCGAACTGTCGATCGGTTTACCGTGTTTCGTATACAAACGAGTGATGTTTACCGTGGTGTCATATACAAATGAGCGAAGCTCTGACAATTAGATAACTGCCTAAGAATGTTACTATGATTAACCGCGATCACACTAAGCGGAGTCTACTGTATTTCGTCTTTTTCTGTCTTATTAGGAACGTTAGGTTTTATTTCGAAATTTAAATTTGGCAACCCGGCCGCCGCTGTCGAAGAGCTAGCTGCTTTGGAAGAGTGAAATCCGTTATCTCTCAAGGTCGACACATGCACTTTCCTCCGAACTAGTGAAGCAAAAAGTAACTTCTTTCAAATCGACGGATATTTTTTACCCTTTTATTTATTTGCATATATATCACATTAGTTTCAAATTAGAATATTTGAAATCAACTAAGCTGACCTGCGGGGAATAACATACCCTTTACCCATTGTATGGATGATGAAGCCTAAAGAAAAAAATAAGCACAAACGTTGGCGTTAGAATAGAATGAGAAATTGTTCGCTCCTTTCAGTTTGTGCGCATTCGGGAACTTCACATGTACGTGCCGAAAAATACAGAAGATAAATTCTGCAGCAGTATAAATATGGGGAAGGGGGTGGCGCTACGGTTTACATTACTGTCAAATATAAAATAATACTTTACGGAATGTGCATAATATTTAAAGACTCATTGATAAAAAAAATGAACTTAAAACTCCTGAAAAATTTTTTGTCTTTACTGATTCAGCTTAATAATATCAAGTTCTAAATTTAAATCTAAATTTAGAACTTGATATTATTATCGCTCTAAATTTTCGCTTTCTTTTAAACGGAAATTATCACAGTGAACTCTGTAGTGGCAACCGCATTCCGAAGACTTCCGCTTCTAAAAGTGATTAATACCTCTGAAAACACAAGCAAGCAGTGACACTGAACTTCACTTCCGTAAGACAACCACCTCCACAGAAGACCGAATCATCCGGACCGTAAGTGAAAAGGCTCACTACATTTCATTTTCCCATTTAAAGCAATAGTCCCTTATAAAGTTTCTAATAGAGAAATTCCTGCGAAACCTTCAAAAAGTGTACCTAAGCTATTATTTTAAAGCCTCCGTCAGGCGACCACTCAAACTTTCGGATGATTTTATTTTCTCTTGTGGATGCCATTTCCTTAAGGATGTGACATTATTATTATTTTTCGAAACTTAATTGTATTATGTTCATATAATTAAATTACATTAAGTTGACATCATTCATTTACTTTGCGATGATATTATTGTTTAAAATATGAAGCATTATGCCCAATGAAACGGAAACTGGCTTACTCTTCCACATTTTTGCTTCCTTGTACAAAGTAAAAGAAGTATTGTAATCGCTAAACATTTTGGGTATCATATTTCAACGGAAATATATATTTTGACTGCTCTCTTATCCATTTCGAAGATTTAATATTTTCATGATATCTGTACGTGCGGACATAATGAAAAGCAATGTTTTCAAAACGAACTGTAAAATGGATTTGAAGTGGATTCAAAAAGAATTTTTTCTGCACGTCCGTATGTATCTACGTATATATGCATATATCTCGCATAACTCAAAGACGATTAGCCGTAGAACGATGAATTTTTGTATATGATACTGCTATAACATCAAGTTGTGCACCTCCCTTTTTTATTGCAATCGCCAGCACCAAACGGTATATCCTTACCCGGCTTAAAAGTCCTTACTCAGCTTTTATTTTCGCAATCGTCAGACGTAGTCATTTACTTCTAGTTACAGAATTTTTTTAAACGAAGAACATATTCATGTTTTGACAATGTCAAATGTTAAAACGAATTAATTTTTGACGAATGACGAAATCTGACTTTTATTATGATCTTCCGGTTCCTATAATTATATTGGGAAATTTTTACTCTTGTTTTTAAAAAATAAAATTATAAGAAATTTGACTCCCTTACGAGAAAAACTGATTATTCAATTTCAGTATTTGCAATTTTTGAGGTCATTTTCAACTTGTCTTGAAGGATCGGTTAGTTAAGTTAGAATAATTCGAGGAAATAAGTTTAAATGAAATGCAGCAGAATATGTTATACATATTAATAACTTAATAGGCCGTACAAAAATGTCATGAGGTGTCCACATCAGAATTTTTTTTCAATGGCATTTCTTAGAGGAGGAATGATATTCAAGCTTGATGTTTTGCATTCCCAGAAATACTTGTTATTTTGAAAAGTGGATTTATGGAAATTTGTATTGTTTATGGAAAGTGGTCGTCATAAGAGGTGCCACTGCATATATGGGTGTTATGGTTTATCATTTTTTTTTTCACATTTCTCTTTTATTTTATTAATTAAATTTCGGGTTAAAATTTTCATATTTTCATAGAATTTTAATTACAAAAATCTTCTTCTTTGCAGAAAACTTCAGCCACCAGAGAGTGAAAGGCTAAAGTTACAACGAACTGGCAATTCGCTCCAAGTTCTGTTACCAACAGTAGAAATACGCTGAATTCACGGAAATGCAGCGATGCCCCATCATATGTAACAACCATACGAAGCAATTTCTCTCTGAAAATCTTCCATCAAAATTCTGGGATGCATATTTCTTATACTCTTGGCCATAATGAGATAATCCTATTAAATGCAAACTTGACTGACTTGGCAAACTGCGTAACTGTCAATGAATGAAAAATGCTGATTTATTAATTAGAATTTTGCATCACAGAAATCTAAAACATTTAGTGTATTGTCATGGAATTCATTGTATACAACATCTGTTAAAAACATTCCTAACCTGTAGCTACGTTTTTATTAGGAACAAATTAATTAACGTCAGGTTTATTGTTTGTTGCAATAAACCCATGAATAGCGAGAATTAAAATAATAAATATTAAAATATAACGTAATATTAACAAGTAAACTTGTATATATTGGTAAAAAGAAGGACCTACGAACAAACCTAAGAAACCAAAACTAGCGCGAAACAGTAACAAGGAAGTAAATGCATTAAATCAGCCAATCGGAGAGTATCAACTGAAAAGTTGCCGTTTCTTGCGCCGCGATTACGCAATATACGCGCCTCTTGACTTTTCCTAGAATTTCCTGGAATACAAGAACAAGGTTAGCCAATCAGAATGCTCCTAGGGATTTTTATGAGGAAGTAAATTCTTAGGGATTTCGAATAGGGAATTTTTATTTCTCTCTTCATCTCTCGCCGCTACACCGAATCTCCCTGTTAACAGTGTTTCTATCAGATAAAACCCCATCTATGAGTACAACAAAAAATATAAATATTATTTAACAAGATGCCCAGAGTTGCTAAAGTAAGTTCATGATAATAAAATCTCACAATTAAAAAGGTTAGTATTTCATTTAAATTACAATTTATGACTACTTTAAATGCATTCGAAATTAAAATTATTTAATTGAATAAATATTTGTTTTCAAAATGTTGCAATAAAATTATTTGTTATAAATATTGGTCCCCTCCTCTCTCCACTGTAATAATTAGTATTTAAGTCATGTTTATTTTTTTTAATCTAGAAAGACATCAGTATTTTTTTATGCTAAGCTTAAAATTATTTGTTGAAATATCGATGTTATTGAGTTTAATTTTTGCAATGCATTAATATTTTATGATTTTATGGTATTTATGTGTGGAGGTGAGGGGTCTGATTGAGAAATTTTGTGCATTGATATATTTATGCTGTTGTTTATGTATATGATTCTTATCGCGAACTGTGTAAAAATATGCCCTTTTCTGAACCTTATCTTGACACTTTGAAATTGTGCTTTACGTTTAAAATACTTAAATGTTCTGAATAAATAAAAAAAAGAAAAGAAAATCACGAGGTTTTAAGTTTTCGCAAATATTTATACTTAAATATTTTTCAAATTTTGCTGTGCTTTAGTTTGTTACTTATGTTAAATTTAATGTTGTTTTAGTTCATGTAAAACATCATTTATTGTATTCTGTTTCTCAATGTTTGTTACTTAAAAGAATAGTTAATATTATTAGATTTTTCTGATCGTAACTTTAATATTTTAAAATTTCCATTTTTTAACTTGTACATTTTATTGTCTTACATATTTCTGACACATGTCTATAATTAAATATTTATATGTATAATTCAGCAAAAGTAATTTTTAATATAATACGTATAAAGAATTATAAGCCTGTTTACTTCACTTCTATTTTATATGCCAAGATTTTAGCTGATCAATAACTATGGTTTTCAAAATAATAAAATAAATAAAAGTATTCCAAGCTATTATTTTACATTCATAAAATTGCTTATATGCGTTAAATAACTAATTAAAAAATATTAGAAGAGTTTACATAAGAAATGCAAGATAGTAATAGTATGAAAGCAAAAGAGAAGGTAACCGACCTCTTTCGAAAGGCCGATTTCGGCTAAAAAATCTCCATTTTTTTATTTCACATTTTTAAAGGTCATAATACAATCAAAACTACTTTTCTTTTCTTAACATGTTTATTAGAAGTGAAGATAAACCAGTTTTTTTTTGAGAGACGGTAAACCGGAAGTTATTTTTTGCCACAGCGGAAGTGAAAGTTTAAAGGGCAAATTAAAAACTTAATTTTCGCCTTTTTATGTTATGTGTTATCTAAATAATTTTAAGCATTTAAGTTAGTTTAGAGAATCTGGAAAAGTATTTTTACTATAAATTTTCTCATTTTACGTTTGGCAAAGTGAATAGTTGTGTATATATGTGGGGCATTGTTAATCTGAGAAATTTAAACGCTATTTTTTATACTTTTTTTATGATTTATTTTCAAACAACCATGATAACTCTAAAAATTCCCTTACAGAATCACTTGAAATTTTGCAAACAGAGTTTGCATATTATTATGCATGATATAGGCTGAGAGTTAAAAAATTAGCCTTACAGAATTTAAATTATATAATTTTTCCTTCAATAGTGTACGCGTTTGTTTTCTAATTTTTGTGTGTTGACTAGCATATTTAGCCATGCATTAATCAACATTTTCCAATTATTCTACTTCACTGCACTCTTATGGTTAATCATAATTATTTTCTAGTCAGTGATAGCTGATGTTTTTGTTAATTTCGATGTAAAATGTTTAGTTTTTGCACGAACTTCACAAAATAATGAATCTGTTATCACTTTTCTAGTGATTATATTTAAGTGTGAATACAATCCAATAAAAAAATGTCATAAATTGAGAAATATAACAAACATTTTGAAAATGGCCCTTCGAAAGAGGTCGGTTATCTTAGTACTACAAAAAGTAAATTATGGATAACTAGGAAAAAATAACAGAACTTTTTTCCGAAAATAAATAAATCAACATTATGGTGCCCTTGAAATTTTATTTCAGAAAATATTTATGATTTGTTTTCAGTGTATTTTAAAAATAAAATTATGTATAAAATATTACATAAGGATATTATGGAGTCTTTCCTTTGGTTTAATATTCCCATAAAGAACAAAAAATTCATTTGTGTGTTAATATATATGTTATATATTAATATGTATGAAAAAATAATAAAATGAAACAAATCTGAAGAGAATTTATTGAAATTCACTGTTAAACAAACACCTTTGCCGCTTAGAATGGAAAGCAGGTTAACGGAAAGCAAGTTTTGGAAGAATATTTAGTCAATCAAATACTTAAAAAAAAAAAAAAAAAAAAAAAAAAAAAAAAAAAATGGTGAATATTTACTGTCTTTACATCCAACCGCAAATGCAGGAAGACATTATCAGGAAGACATTATTATTAATTATTTTTGGCTACTGAAAATTTTATTTCCTTTTATGTTCAACCACAAAACCACGAAATGATATTGTTTTCTAATGTTTGTATAGTAAAAGGTGTTTACCAACAATTCCATAAGATTCAGATCTTTTGAGAAGATGGTTACCATCAGTGATTTTATTCCCATTGTTTATGTATGTTCTCGAAAATTAGGTCATTTTCATAGGTACTAGTACTACTAGTAAGGATGGTCGCCTGAGAGTTTCACCATTTTGTGCTTACAATTTATTTCCAATGTTCTTAATTAATTTTACTTTTAAACGTCTGTTCTATTTGCTTCAAGTGATGTAAGTATTTTTTAAGCTATGGAAATTAATATGTTCTCATAGTACATAATGTAATTGCATTTTATTGTAAGGTTCCTATTTGTATTTTAGATCTTATTCTTACTACTCGCGTAAGAATTGGCAAATCTAGTAGGAGAAAAATAAATAGAAATTTAAAAACTTTTATTTCGTTTATTTACAGTTACAAATGCAGAAAAATAAGTTTTAACTTTTTATCTTCTTTTTTTTTATTTGTTTATTTTTGGAAAGTAATAAAAAAATAATGAAAATTTCTCTAATAAATTATCTGAAA